GCTGGGAGAATTGTGTTGGATAGTACAGGATGGAATTAGTTAAGAGGACCTACCATTAAATTCAAGGTCTGCTTGTACTGTCCTGACATTCTCCCTTTTTAAAAATGACCTAATACTAGTTCCAAAATGTACCTGTAAAGAAAAAAAGTAGATTTTACTTATCTTACCCCTATCTTCTGCCAGTGGTGCCTAGGGAATGATGGGAATAATGGAGTAATTTCATTCTGGTTAGATCCTGGGGAATACAGAGCACCCAAAAACGTGTGATATTACACTCTAGCAATGCGTTGAGTGTCTTCTTGTGAGATTTTGCCTGCTTTGTTTTCCCTGGAAATCTTCCTGAAAAAACTGTGATTTTCTTTTCATTACAGGTATATTTTGGAACAGCTGACATTGAGTGACTTATTAAAGAGAGGAGGCTCCTGGATATTATATGTGAATCCTTGCAATTGTCATATTTATTTTTATTTTGCAGATTTTTAGAATATATTACAGCTTTTGGAAAATTTGATAAATTGGTAAATTAGTATTTATTACTTTGTTTAGGAATGGTTATTACCACATTATTTACAATATAGCATATAACAAACAAATGTAAATATGGGAAGTGCAAAAAAGGTAAAAAAAAAATCAAAGAAAGGCAAAATATGGAAAAAAAGAATTAATGTTAATATAATTTAAATATAAAAGAAAGATAACTGTAAAGATAACAATAACACCATTTCAAATTAACCGTTTAATATTGAAATGACCAACACAATCTCAATCAGGGGCGGACTGAGCATTTGGAAACTCGGGCACTGCCCGAGGGCCTGGGGTCAGTAGGGGGCCCCATGAGATGCCACTGGTACCTTTTTCATATCCTTTTTTGAGTTTGGGCAAGGACACAGGGGCCCCATGATCCCCTATTGCCCAGGGGCCGCATGAGTTGTCAGTCCGCCCCTGATCTCAATAATTCTAAATTTATTTTATCCAGTCATTGTTGTTATGTATTGGTTTCATCAGCACACCCCAGTCACATTTGACAGTCATCTGGTGACCTGGGAAGCCCTGCTTGTCATGCAGGAGAGCTATTCCCTAACACGCTCACTGCAAATTGTTTGCTGTCTCTCACATTAAAAATCATCAAGTAATAAAATTACAGATTCAGTAAGTACACTTGTTGTGACTGGGAGGCGCTGTTTGATTTTGGCTTCAATTAATTGAGAGCTTAGATAATGAAACTCTGAGTGACATTTATTATTTAGAAGTTTTGCAGTACTTTATAAAGATTACACTAAAGGTTGTATTTGATGACTGAAATGCAACTCCAGCCGAAATGCCATCCAGCCAGCAAAATGTAGTAAATGCAACAGATGTTTTGGGTATATTGGGGGAAGGTTTAGATCTTTTTTGTTTTCTGTTGCTGTATGTGACCCTGTTAGGGAGATTTCCCCTCGATTCCTGTCTCGATGACAATGTTGTGAATATATACAAAAATAATAAATAATAGTGGTTGAAGCCATTCCCCACTCCACTAAAAATGTGTTCCTCTTACTTTCTATCTTGGTGGCACCATTATTACTGGGACGTAAATTGTAAGTAGTTGAATCTCATAAATTGCCAACATCCCTACTCAAGTACAAGATAAACATACATTTCCCATGGGCCTTTAAGGGCTGTGCTTGGCAAAAGGTAGCAAGACATTCTCTGTCCTTGTTTTTAGTTGGGGTGGCTTATCGTGTAATTTGTAATGTGAATATGGCATGCATACATGTTTTATAGAAGTATTAGAGATGTTGTGTCTACAAAAATGTTGAATTGTATTCTAGATATGCTACTGTATACCTTCTATAGCCCTGAGGAGGGACTCTGTGAAATATGTTGGACCTGTCCTGGTCTGGGGACAGTACAGACAGGTTAAGCACTATGGATATATATTTCCCAGACTATGGACTGCTGGGTATTTTGTAATTGCATTGTGTATCTGTACATATGTAATGTGCCAGCCAAAGTGAAATTTTAAAGTTGATTTTCTACAACACTGTGAATAAAGTTGGTGTATAGTTTTTATTGATTATTTTTCTGTTTACAATTTATGTACATTGCCCTTATCTTGTCTTTTTGCCGGACATGTTGTAGGGGAAATTTCTACAACAGACACACAAACAGCAATAAAAACCTGATAGAGGTTCTTTTTCTGTTCCCCTCTTAAATCACTCATCAACCCCCCCCCCTCCCCCCAGAAAGACAGAGAAGCTGCCTTTATCAATACTGAATGGGCACAGACATACAATGAGATACAATATATGAGATATTTTGGTTTACCAAAGTAAATGCAGTATAACTTTTATATATAAGTTTTTTTTCCCTGTTCCAGGTGTGCAAGGCCATTCTTGTGCATTGGAAATCAGAAACTCCCCCTAGTAATGAAGATTGGAGACAGAATATGGGAACCATCTTACGATATGATTGTTTAATTTACCAACATCGTGGATGCCCAGGTAAGTTTGAGAAACTTTGGGAAGCATGGTTGGCCATTCTGGATCTAACCCCATTTGACTTGATAATGCATAGACTGATGTAATTATCCTTTCATGATATACTATGCCTATTGCTTTTTTACAACCTGCTCAGGTTCACCTGGATTATTAATTAGGGAGATCTACATGCTCTATTTTCCACTTGTCCACTGCTGGAGAGGAACCTCTGCTGCCCTGTGTGAGTGTGGTTCCGCATATGACTTTACTCCGTAAAGTACCATCATTTTGTTGTATTTATGTGTTCTTTGGACAAATGGTAGCACTGGACCTTTTCTTACTTTTGTTCTTTTTGTTTATGGATGGTTCTTTCTTACTGTTTTATATAGGGTACTATATTCTGTTCTGTGTATTTTTTGTTAAAATAAGTATTCGTAATGCTCATATATTTTTTGAACAAATTTGGAAAGGTTTTACATCTGAACAGTTTCTGTACAGAGCTATTATACAGTGAGTGATTTTTGCAATAGAAACTTTTATGAACAATGTAGGCACCTCAACATTTTTTCTGTACCATGACTGGTAGGAGTTCCAGTTAAATAATTACTGGATATCATTATCAAAACTGAATGGGCACAGGCATGCAACAAGGAATTTCTTACAATACAGGGTCATTTTTTAGCTTTCTTTGTCATAAAAAAGCTACAGGGTACCCTAATAAATGCAGTATAATTATGTTGTACTTATTTTTTTGTTAATAAAAGATTTTGGAATGCTCACATATTTTTAAATAAGAAAAAAACTTAGTGAGTTGTTAAATTTGAGCAGAGTTTCTGTACAGAGTTGTTACGCAATGTGTGATTTTTGCAATAGAAAGTTTTATTAACAATGTATGCACCTCCAGGATATACTGTACTATGACTCATGCAATAACACATAGGATGAAACACTTCATACAGCAATTATCACACATGTAGACTGCAGGATCTGCTCATTTCACATCAGTAGACCACATAATAAACTTTCCCATCACATCAAGGTATATCCTCAGAAACCTTATGTCTCTACCACACATTGAGATTGAGAAGAAGATGGGGTAGAGCGATGAGCTATTTTTTTGGCAACTACCAAAGTCAACGTACATGAAGCAATCTTTATTACCAAATGGAAATACAGAGTAACAGCCAATATTATGGCTTTCACTGCATTTTTATCCTTGCCCTGCCTTAGCTATTTCCTCTGTTGCCACAAAAGACAACATAGGATTTACATGCAGCTGTAATGCTGAAGATGCTGAAGAAGGAGTCATTAACATCAGAGCAGGAGTGCTTTGTGGATTATTTTTGCTAAATCCGTTGTCCTTTAAGTTCCTGTTGGCCATTCCTTACATAAAAGATTGTTGGTCAGGAAAGAAAGTGTCAAGCTTCACATTTTGATTATAAAATACCATGCAATGAGGTTTAAACCATGCATTATTATCCATACAGGTAGCTAGTCTTCAACTCATGTCCTTTTGAACCTAATACCATCTATCCTTCTAACCTTGAATTTTTATTTCCCTCTGGGCATCAAGCTAAAATCTTTAGTTGTTCCAGAAGTGTTTGGTCTGTGTTTATCTGGGTTTCTTATTTCTTTTTAGGCTCTGCATACTGTATGTTACTAAAATGGGAAATAAACTATTTTACAGCATTTGTCTTTTCTTTCAGTAGTTAATGTGCTTTGGAATATGTACATTATCATGTATTGGACCCACCTAGTTTCATGCTAACTGGCAACAATTTTGTGGAACGTTACTTTTGTTCTAAAAGAGTTAATCCTAAAACAAGACAAAACAAAAATTATACCTTTGAATAGCTGTTTAGAGTTTTATTGGTTACTATAGTGAAAGTAATATACATACTCTGCTATAATAAAGCAGGAAGCCATATTCCATGAGCCAATTACTATTTGCCTCATAAGATAAAATATTACGTATATGCAAACCAAGATCCAATATGAGCAAAATTTGCTCATTTTGGGATTACATCTGCCACTTATGCTGTTAAACAAAGCAAAAAACCAAAAAACATAATGAGCAATGTCTTTTAAACACTAACGCTAGTGAAAAGTGTGCTATATTATATATATATTTAAATTTTCAGGTCACAGAAAACGCACATTTTTTTGTAGCCGAATTTGTCATACAGCAAGCTTTAGTGCATTGGTAAATTGGGCGGGCATCTTAGGCTTTCAGGAATGATATACACTACTAATGCAAAAGTTTTAGCCTAGGTGTATAAAATACTGTAATGTAAGAATGCTTTTATAAACTAGAAGATGTTAATAGTTGTGTTTTATCAAAGAGCAAAATGGAAAGTAAATGAACATAGAGAAAAATCCCCAAATCAAATCAATATATACGGTAGAGATGAGCGAAGTATTCAAAAATTCGATTCGGCTGATTCGGCGAATTCAAGGAATAAATTCGATTCGAGGCGAATATATTCGCTGCGAATTTAACTTATTACAAAGGGTGTTTCCTTCTAGGCTTCAGAGAGCCTTTTATATTAGTGCAGAACACTGTACCTTTAATTTAAAAAAATGCCCTTGAGCGTCTGCTGGGAAGAGAAATAATACTGTCAGTCAGTAATGACATGCAGATGAGTGCCGTCGATCTTGAGAATCACCGGCACACTTCACTCATTTGGGCAGTCACGGGGCCAAAAACCAGAGTGTGAGAGACCACATTGTGGCGGTGGAGGCAGCAGCAATGGGAGGCCATACACAGCACGCTATGACAAAATGGAACCCACCAGCAGTGTGAGGAGACCTGAAAGTGGCACATGGCAGAGTGTGATGGCCCCCGATGGAGACACAGCAGCAATGGGAGGCCGTACAGGGACCCATGACACTCTGGACCTGGCAGCAGCTATGAGGAGGCGGGTACAGGGGCCCATGACAGATTACGGGCCTGGCAGCAGCAATGGGAGGCCCGTAATCTGCCAGCACCCTATGACAAAATGGAACCCACACCAGCTGTGTGAGGAGACCTGAAAGTGGCACATGGCAGAGTGTGGGCGATGGAGACAGCAGTCAATGGGAGGCCGTACAGGGACCCCATGACAGATTATGGGCCTGGCAGCAGCATGAGGAGGGGGTACAGGGGCCCATGACATATTACTGGCCTGACAAAATGGAACCCACCACATTGTGAGGAACCTAAAAGGGGGCCAGGCAGATGGGCAAATGGAACAGCACAATGGGGGGCCCGTCGGGCCCCAAAGGGTCACTTTTAAGACCTGGCAGCAAAAAAGAGAGGGGGTTACGGGGCACTTGCCCGTTTACGGGCCGGGGCAGCACAATGGGGGGCCCGTAAACTCCCCACTACCCAATGACAAAAGGGAAACCCCAAACCACCAGTGTGAGGGGGAACCCCTGAAATGGCACAGGGCCCAGAGTGTGGGGGGAGGGAAAACCCGCAGCAAGGGGAAGGCCGAACAGGACCCCATGAACACTCGGGACCGGGAAAGCACCCATGAGAGGGGGTTAAAAAGGGGGGGCCCAGGGCCAATTACGGCCTGGCACCAGCAATGGGGGGCCCGTAATCGCCACACCTTTGCCAAAATGGAACCCACCACAGTGTGAGGACCTAAAAGTGGCACAGGGCAGAGTGGGCGAGGGAAACCAGCAGCAATGGGGGGCCGAAAAGGGCCCCCATAGAGACTCTGGACCGGCAGCACATGAGGAGGGGGGGGGGGGGCCGGGGGGGGGCCCCATGACAGATTAGGGGGCCGGCAGCAGCATGAGGGGGGAACGGGGGCCCGGGAAAGATTACGGGCCGGGCAGAAAAAGGCAAGGGGGGCCCCGAAAGCTGCCAGCCCCTATACAAAATTTGGGGAACCCCACCACGGGTTTGAGGAGACCTGAAAGTGGCAAAAGGCCAATGTGGCGAGGGAAACCCGCAAAATTTGGGGAGGCCGTACAGGGACCCATGAAAATTTTACCCCTGGCACAGCATAAAGGGGGCCCCGGGTACAGGGGCCCAAACAGATTACGGGCCTGGCCCACAATGGGAGCCCGAAAATCTGCCAGCACCCTATGACAAAATGGAACCCACCACAGTGTAAAGGGAGACCTAAAAGGGGCAAAAGGCAGAGTTTTGCGAGGGAAACACCAATGGGAGGCC